CATAGTATACATGTGATTGTATGTTATGAAAAGGGAAATAAAAATATTTCACACAAAAAAAAGAAGAACCTTTTTAGTTTTGAGAGAGTCTCCCAGATGGCCGTTGAGGGCTCAGGGACAGCGAGAGAAAGTGGGTTGTGGTGGAGAGACTTCCCTTCTCACATCAGAGCCCCGAGCCTTGTCGCTGAAGAACTTATTGTCTTCTCTGCTCCTGACTGAGGTCCTCTTCTCTGCCTGCAGATCTTGGATGTCCGGGAGAACCCAAACTTGGTGATGCCTCCAAAGCCCGTGGACCGAACTTCAGAGTGGTACAACATTGACTTCTCCCTGCAGAATCAATTGCGGCTGGCTGGGGCATCTCCTGCCACGGTGGCAGCGGCAGCTGGAGGTGAGTTTAGGACCCTCTTTTGGGTCCTAAAGACCCCCTTTGGATGTAGGTTAGGACACACTTCGGTTGTAGGTGTGTAGTTTTCTAGCCTTCCCCAGCAAACAGCCACAAGAGAAGGTCAAACTGTTGCCTTCAGCCCGATCATCTCAAGAACTTCCACCTGCCTTGTAAACTAGAAGCACGCCGATCTTCCCGATCTTGTTACTTCCAGGTGGGAGCTAAAACTTTTCCGTCCAATCTTCTCCTCTCCGTCTCTTGCTTCCTAAAACTCTCCCCCCCTCCCTCCTTGGGTTCCAGGGAGCAGCCCAAGGGACCCCCTGGCCCGGAAAATGCGCTTGCGAAGACGCAAAGATTCAGCCCAAGACGATCAAGCCAAGCAGGTCTTGAAAGGCATGTCAGACGTGGCCCAGGAGAAGAATAAGAAGCTGGAGGTAAGGCAATGACCACAAGGTTGGATTCCTGCCCGGGTGACCCTCGCTGCCCCCACCCCTCCCATGGCTGCGGAGGAAACGGAGAAGCTGTGATGGGGGGCTAAGAGGAAAACCCCTTCCCCTTTTCCCCTTTAGGAGAACGGAGACCTCAAATACACGGATCTGAAGACCCGCCGTTGGGACAAGAGTCTGGAGAAGCCTCAGCTCAACTATTCGGAGTTCTTCACGGAGCACGTGGGGCAGCTGCCGGGGGTCACCGTCTGGCATATCGAGAATTTCGTGCCCATCTTGGTGGACGAGGCTTTCCATGGGAAGTTCTATGAAGCCGATTGCTACATTGTGCTGAAGGTGGGCGTTGCCAAAGGGCCGGGCTGCGTGTGTGCCTGTGTGTGATATGCCCACAGCCCTAACCTCTCCATCTGAGGCTGGTTTAGGGCAATGTCCTTCAACCACTTTCAGAAGTTGGGCCAGATAGCAATAGCAATAGCAGTTAGACTTATCTACCGCTTCATAGGGCTTTCAGCCCTCTCTAAGCGGTTTACAGAGTCAGCATATCGCCCCCAA